CAGGCCCCCGACGCTCGGTGCGCGGCGCCCCCAGGTGCCCCGGCGTGCGCACGGGTCCGACGCTCTCCTGCAGCCGCCGTCGCCTCGGAGGTCGCCCCAGTGGGTGGCAGCCTCCGCTCCGCTCCCGGGCGCACGGAATGAGCCTAGCGCCTCCCACCTTGGGGCTCCAGTCCCAGCCGCGCCTTGTGCCCCAGCCAATCTCGGGCTCCCGGCCGCTGCCCCGAGGCGGGGAGGCTGGGTGGAACCCCCACAGCCCCTCCCGCCCGACTCGGAGCGTCCCGCCCAGCGCCGGCTCGCGCGTCCCTCTCCGCCGCCTCAGCTGCCGCCGTCCCATCCCTCCTGGCTGCTCTCCACCCCCGGACGACCCCACCTCCCCGGGGATTTTCCTCACCCCTCGCCCTCTCCATCTTTCCTATCTTTCTGCGCCGCTGCCTCTCCTGGTCCTTTTCTCACTCACTTCACTTGCTTATCTCTGCGTCTCGGCCTTTCCCCTCCGCTCTGTTTTCTCTTCTTGACACCTTGGTTCTCCCTTCTCCTGGCAAGAGGCTCCTGGCTGCCCACACTCTCCTGGTCTAGGCAGGCAGGGCACATCACTCCTCAGCCTTCAGCTCCTGCTTGGTGCCTGGCACGATGGTGCCTGGCACGATACTGCCGCTGGGGAATCAGAAGTGACAGATGGACCCCACCCGCAGGGACATCGCAGGCTAGTGGGGGTCACGATAATTACGGCCACTATTTCATGAGGTCTGACTAAGGCAAGAGACACTGCACAGCCCTTCAACAACCTCATCAACGGCTGCTTCTGACCTCAGCAGGCTACTAGTTACTGGCCGCTTCCTGCAGCTGTGCCTGTGTGAGCGCAACACATAAATTATCTCACTGAATTCTCCCAGGAATGCTGTAAAGTGGGCAGGTGCTACTGTCACCCTGCTTTACAGGTAAGGGTGCTGAGGCAAAGAGAGGTGAAGATTGGTGTCAGGACTTGAACCCAAAATCCGGTACCAAAGTCAAAGAGTCCAGATACAAGCAGGAGGTCTGGTTCAAGTCTGCAGGCTTATGAGAAGTGAAGTAACTGGTCTTGGTCTCAACTGTTTGGGGGGCTTGTCTTCCCTCTGGGTCCTACTTTCCCCTAACTTGCCTATAGGAGGAGCTTTGAGAGACTATGGCCGGGCTCTTCCTGACAGCCTGGCAGGAAACCCAACCTTGCAGCAGCTGGAAGTGTCTAATAGGGGAGTTTGGGGTGCAAGGGGGAGCTTGGGGTGCAAGGCAAGTACTAGGGCACTTGCACCCCTGCCTGCTGCCTCACTGCTCCCCATCCTCTGAAATGTTTCTAAGGCTCCAGACTTCCTGTGCTAGAAGCAGTAGTGGAGAGGAGTGAGGAAACCAGTCCCCCCCCCCACCCTCCCGCAGTTATAGGGAGCACCGGCAAGGTGCCAGGCCGCCCTAGTTGGATCTGGGGGAGCAAGCTGAGGGCCTTCCCCACCCCCAAGCACCCAGGAAGAGGGTTTGCTGATCACTGCCTACAAGGTGAAGGCCTGTTTCCCGCAGGGCTGGGCGGCAGTGCCGGAGCCTGGACTCTGCAGACAGACAGCGCTAGGTTCAAATGCAGGTGCATACTGACTGAGTGACCTTGGGCAAGTACTGACCCTCCATGTCCTTGTTTGTGAAGTGGAGCTTCCTTTGCAGTTGTCATGAGGGGAAATAAAATGATGCTTAGAAAGGAAGCCTCTGCAAGGTGCCAGCATCTACCAGGCAGCTGGGGGGTTCCATCTCTGAGGATGTGTGATGTTAGGGCAAAAATGTGGTATGTTCTGAAAGCACTCTTTACACCTTGGCCTTTGTTCTGGTTTGGGGGCTCTGAGCGTCATTCCCGCTCCCTGCACCCCCACCTCATCCAGGCAGGGTGAGAGTGCAGAGTTCTACACTCTGGGGAAGGTGTGGCTCTGGGCACTGGTGAGGGGCATCGGAGCTCCCCAGATGGTTGTGTAAGGTGCTGGCTCTTGGGCAGCTGGCCGCCTGTGCTGTTCTTGGCTTCCTGGTGCCAGGCCTGGACAGAGGCGGGCATTGTTCTGCTGCTGGTTATGTAAGAACTGCGCATGTCTGAGAGCTGGGGGAAGCCTGTACCTGGACACCCCAGGCGGTCCAAAGGGCAGAGGCCGGCTGGAAGCCTCCTGGGAGGGGAGGATGGGCAGTCTTTACTTGGCAACTTTGCCTTGGGGACCCCTAAGGGTCCCTGACCCGGACCTCTGAAGAGCATGAAGTAGGGAGACCTCATAGGAGGGGCCTCCAGGGGTGGGGAGCTGGGCCCCAGGGAAGCTGTCCCTGGGCAGCCAGCTGGTTACCCTGGCTCTGCGGCCCCCCACAGGGAGGGGGCTGCTCTCTGATGTGGTGCCTCTCCTTGATGAGGCCACTGCAGGATTGGGCAGCTGGGTGGAACACCTGGCGTGCTGGGCACCTGTCCATCTTAGAGTGTCGGCCGTCTGTTCAGGTGCAAACCTCCCCTCGCTGGCGGAGGGCTCATTTGTTCAAAAGAATGTGTATTTCTGATTTGTTCTGAGCAAAGTCTACGTAGATACCTCTTAGATCAAATTTGTTAATCATGTTATCAGATCTTGCATCTTTCTACCTTCTGGCCGGCTTCACCGGCTCTCCAGGTGTGGTCTGGGCTTCTCTGGGTGGCCCCAAGTCCCCAGGATGTCTGCAAAGTCAAAATTGTATGTAATGGGGGAAAGTGTAAGATAGACTGGTGGAATTAAAGTAACAGAGGAAGAAAATTTTAGCCATATGCTTTTAGGTTCTACATTACAAACATTTAAGGAACTGCCACATGTCAAGTTTTGGCAGATCAAAGAAGATTATCCACCACATCTGAATAGGATATTAAAATAATTTCCTTTCCAACTAATTTCTGTGTGAAGCCAAATTCTCTTCGTATACTTTGGCCAAAACAACATGTGACAACAGATTGAATGCAGAAGTAGGTAGAAGACTGTCTTCTACTAAAGACAGACATGAAAGATACTTGCAGAAACGTGAAACCACGCCATTCTTCTGACTAGTTTTTATTTTGGAATACACAATTATTTCATAAACATTTATTATTTATGTTAACATATGATATTTTAAGTAAATAAATTTAAATTGTCCTCAATTTTAATTGTATGCATGGTAAGCATTGATAGGTATAAACCCATATATATAAAAATCCCTTAACCTAAGAACTTCAATAAGAAGAGTGTAGAGGGGGCTGAGACCAAAAAGTTTGAGAATTGATGATTTACTTTGTCTATTTTCTTTTAAAGATTTACTTGATGGCCCTGCCTGGTGGCGCAGCGGGTTAAAGCACTGCACTAAGAAGCTTAAGCCACTTCCGCATGAGTTCGATCCCGATCCCCGGAGGAGATCCACATGGCGACATGGCGTGGCAGACCTCTCCTGACCTGCCTGCTGCTCCCCTCAGCAGTGTACTTTGTCGATCTGCCTGTTCTGCTCCCCACTCTGTCTCTGGTGAATCCTCTCACCCTCCTCATCTCTGGCCTGTACCCCAGTTCTGTATGAATAAATAAATCTTAAAAACAAACAAACAAAAAAGATTTACTTGATTATGCATATAAGATCTGGGGTACAGGCCAGAAGTGCGGGGGGTGAGAGACTTCACCAGAAACAGTGGGGAGCAGAAGAGGCAGGCTGAGTGAAGTACACGTGAGGGGAGCAGCGGGTGAGACAGGAGAGGTCTGCTGCGCCCTGTGGGTCAGCTCCAGGGCTGGGATGGAACTCTCACTGCAGTGGCTGTGAGATAGCTTCATAGCGCTGCGCTTTAACCCCTGCGCCACCAGGGAGGCGCCCTCTGTCCATTTTTGACAGAGGTATATATAATCTACATTAATTGTGGCTTCACTAATTTCCTGTTTTGTTTTTTATTTTAATCAGCGTTTGCTTGATATATTTGAAGCTATGTTACCTATCATGAAGAGTTTGTCTTGGTCATGTTTCCCTTGCTTCTAGCACAGTGTAATTAGTAGGTGCTCAATAAATGCTGCACGAAGGACTGAATGTGTGGATGGATGTGAGGAGGGGAAAGCCGCACAATTAGTGTGTGTTCTGGTTATATGGTAATTTCTTTTTTTTTTTTTTAAGATTTATTTATTTATGCATACAGAGCTGGGGTACAGGCCAGAGGTACAGGGGCAGTGAGAGGATTCACCAGAGACAGAGTGGGGAGCAGAACAGGCAGACTGAGGAAGTACACTGCTGAGGGGAGCAACGGGCGGGCCAGGAGAGATCTGCCTCGCCATGTGGTCACCTCAGGCAGGCGGGGATTGGACTCATGCGGAAGTGGCTTTAGCTTCTCAGTGCTGTGCTTTAACCCGCTGCGCCACCAGGGAGGGCCATTATATGGTAATTTCTATCTGGGTGAAGTCACCTTCTTTGTGACTTTGAATACTAATTCCTTGAGCCAACATTGAACTAGAACCTGCTTGGAGCAGGCCCAGATGTGAAAGATCTTCAGCGTGGGTGAGTGTGGAGATAGACACAAGAGGGGTGTAGTGTAGCAGACTGGCCTGTGGTGACTTCTGTCCAGCTCCTGGATGTATATCCTTGGATACATCTGTTGCACTTTGAACCTCAGTTTCTTTATATGTAAAAGGGATTACAAATGACCTCTTACCAGGTGGTAGTGAAGACTGCTGGGCTGGTGAGTGAGGGGAGCACTGGCTGGGGCCCGGAGCCTCTTGCTCTGTGGTCAGTGCTAGGACAGAGATGTGTGCCAGGAGATCGGCCCTGTGTGCGCCCCCAGGAGAGGCAGGGTGTAGCAGAGGGCAGCACCCAGAGCCTGGACCCTGAAGACCTGCGTGGTATGTTTTCAGTGAGTC